CCTTGTTATCTCAGATTCTCCAGCATTGGCAGTTCCTACTGTCTCACAGCCCCCAATCTGTTTTTTTTATTATTATTGCAGTGCTTAATTAATGAAGCCGGGACTCACAGAAAAAGTAAAGAAGGAGCTGAATGCATGGAGTAAAATTTTAACACCTGCATTAAAACTTGTTACACATGTGGAGACTAGTGTCGTTTCTGCATGTCTCCAAGAGACAAAATATACCGCAGCAAATAGGGAAAAGGAGTTGTTTCCCAAATCAGTAATCACAGATCATAAATTTAAAATAATTGGAAATCGAACTAGGGAAATGTGAAATTATTGTGAGGATATGGAATGGACTATTTGAAGGGTGAGTAGATTCAGATTCTGGAGGAATGTTCAAAAACAACTGGACATGTGCTTGAAGAGGTTTAAATTGGAGGGGTTTGGGGTTGGGGCAAAAGGGGGTGGTAGGGTCATTTAAGGCCCCGAGAATGGTCGATCCTGCCCTTTTGCAGGTGGAAACGTGCCCCAGAGGGGAGTGAGCACTGGGCAGAATGAATGGGTTTTTTTTGGGTGTTGACTAAAGAACTAGAACTAGATGAATGAACTAGTTTGCAGGTGGAGGGTCCTTTGGGAAGAAGACTTGTGTTTCCTCTAAGGTCACAAGAGGTATTCCCTTCCCTAGTCATGTTGTTCATTGAAATTGAAAATGGTAGGAGGCTCCGAGGAGCAATTGAAGAGGAATCCACGAGACCATGAGCAGAGACTGCCTGAGAATGAAGCGTTGGGGAGTAAGACTAAATTTGACAGCTGTTTCAAAGATACAGCATGGATTGATGGGCTGAATGGCATTACAAGATTTTATGCATCAACCTCCTTCTTTTGCAATGCTGTGGTCAGCATCCTTTTGTGCGTCTCATTGCAGGACCACCAGTTCCGGATTGATTTCAATCAGATTGAAGATGGTAAAGGGAGAAGCCCATATGATGCCAAGCATCTATCAACCTCCATTCTGATTGGTAAGTCATTGTCACAGAGTTAGGAGCCTTGTGATAGCCTTCGGAGAGTGAAAGCGCAGTGGCAGGCAGCCACAGATTTATAAATGTGAAGAGGTTGGATGTTAAACCTACTGGCTAATACTGTCAATCCTATAATGTCGTTGCCGGAACTGCACATGGTACTCCAGCTACCGCTGTACCAGGGTTTTATTCAGTTCCAGCTATAATTTCCTCCCTCTGGTATTTTCTGCCTTGGCAAGTTTCCCCTTTGTCTTCCTTAACACCTTGTCTGCCTTCGGGGATCTGTTGGATATGCATGGTAAACTCCCGTTGGTCTTTAATAATTCCAGGATCCTACCATTTCATGGTGTAATGTCTTCTGTTGCTAGCCCTCCACAAATGATCACCCTGCACTCTTCCAAAGGGAACTGCATTTCTCACTGCATGACTGGCCCACACTGGCTCCTGTTCTCCGTATTTCTGTGTTTCAGGTGAGGAGCTGTACTCTGGAGTGGCCACCGACTTGATGGGCCGTGATTTCACCATCTTCCGGAGCCTTGGGCATCGCCACTCCATCAGGACAGAGCAGCACGACTCACGCTGGCTAAACGGTGAGTGCCACATACCCACCCACCTGCCCCGGGTCAACCAAACCCCAGCCCCCTTCCCCTCCCCCAACCCTGGCTCCAGCCAAACTCCCACACCAGTCAAAATAAAGGCAGAATTCTGCAGGGGATGGAGATATGGAACAAAACCAGAGCATGCTGGAGAAACACAGCTGATCTGGCAGCATCTGTGGAAAGAGAACATTTCAAGTCTGATCTGACTCTCCTTCAGAGCTTACAGACCATCGTACAGGGGAGCAGTCTAATCCCACGGTAGGTTCTAACTCCTCCATTTGGGGGTCACATGAACAGCCATCGCTGCTGGTTGACTTAGCCAAGCAATTTGTGACAGACAGCAACTGTACACTCCGTGAGGGATGCCCACATCCCATGAAAGAATATATTTTAAAAATGGGTGGCATAGTGGTTAGCATTACCGCCTTGCAGCGCCAGGGACCTGGGTTCAATTCCAGTCTTGGGTGACTCTGTGTGGAGTTTGTACATTCTCCCCGTGTCTGTGCGGGTTTCCTCCCATGGCCCAAAGATGTGTAGGTTAGGGTGGATTGGCCATGCTAAATGGCCTCCTAGTGTCCAGGGATATCTAAGGCTAGGTGGTCTATCCATGGTAAATGCAGGGTTACAGGGATAGGGTGGATTGGGTGGGATGCTCTTTGGAATAAACTTGATGGGCTGAATGGCCTCTGTCTGCACTGCAGGGATTCTATGATTCTAGAAGGAAGCCACTCACTCCATCGAGTCCATGCCAGCTGTCCAGTAAATGCCTTTCCTCTTGCGCTGCAAGTTTATTTGCCTCAATTTCCTTGGGAATTATCAATCACCTTCGCCCCCACAACATTTCTTCCACCATCCTCATTTGGCTCACTTCGTGATCCTGTTGCATTCTCACTATTTCTTGCGTTTTGTGCCACAGCAGTGTTATGTGAAAGGTGTAAGATTTACAGGGGCACTGTCTGGCAGCCAGCTTGCAGGGGGACCGTGTCAGAACAACTGGATAAGCTCTGAAATGGAAAACTTGGCCAAGTTTGGTTGCAGCCACAGCCGCCAGCTTGTTCCCGAGCCGTTGTTGTTTCAAACGAATTGAAACAGAATGAGATACAGAGGAGGGTACGAGAAAGACTGGGCAGGAGTGAGAAAGACAGAGAGTAACGCTGGGAAGTGAAGAAGGAGGCAGGCTGAGAAAAGGCAAAGAAAAGGAGACTGTGAGAAAGATACAGCTGCGAAGGGTCAAGAGGCAAGAAGGGGAGAGAATAGTGAGGAGATAGTGATGAGAAAAGCAAGGAGAGGGGGCTAGCTAAGGAACACATAGAAAGAAAGCCTAAAAGGCTGATTTGGAAAGCACAGAGGATTCAGAGAGGGAAGGTTGAGGACAGAATATATAAAAACAAACTGGAGCAGACGGAAATAAAAAGAGACCTGAGTAATAGGAATGAGAGGGAAAAAAAGAGGAGGGAAAGCGGGGAGGCGATGGTCTAGTGGTATTATCACTGGACTGTTAATTTAGAGACCCAGATAACACGCTGGGGACTTGCGTTCAAATCCTGTGCACAGCAGATGGTGGAATTTGAATTCAATAAATAGCTGGAATTAAGAATCTCATGACGACCGTGAATACATTGTCAACTGTTGGGGAAAAACCCATCTGGTTCACTAATGTCCTTTAGGGAAGGAAATTGCCATCCTTACCAGGTCTGGCCTATGTGTGACTCCAGACCCACAGCAATGTTATTGACTCTTAAATGCCCTGTGGGCAATAAATGCTGCCTAGCCAGCAACGTCCTCACCCTGTGAATGAGTAAACAAAAAGATAAATGGAGAAGACGATTCTGCTTTGGGCTCCAATTTGTTGCTGCTTTGTGCCACCATCAGGATGTTTATTGCATAACATGTATTACTTTGGTCATGAAGTAATTGTAAGCAAAGTATTTGGGTGAGATTTATATTCTTTACATTGCATCATGGTTCAGAGTGTCTTTTTTAAATAAACTAGAACAATATCTCTATTGTCTCCCCCATCATTTTTCACAACTAGCCGTTATTCCTTGTGAAGACATTGCTGTACATTGCAAATCAAAATTGGTCCTCATACCCACCTCGGTTTATTCAAGCAGCCACTTCTCAGTTTTGAACCCTGTCTCTCTGTGCAGATCCCAAGTTTGTGGGCTCCTTCTGGGTCCCAGAGAGCGACAACCCGGACGATGACAAAATCTACTTCTTCTTCCGAGAGATGGCCGTCGAAGGGCAGAACCTGGGCAAGTCCACCTTCTCGCGAGTGGGCCAACTGTGTCGGGTGGGTAAGGAACATGTGGTGATGGGGCTGGGGCAGGGGGTACAGTTGCTGTCCCAATGAAGCACATGTAGTGTAGTGAGTGTGTGTGGGATCCTAGGCAAGGGCCAATGGCTCCCTTTGTGGTTGGGAGCATTGCAGTAGTGCTGCGTTAGATGGTTGAGGTTACAGATTGGAGTCAACTGGAACGGGAGACTTATGTGAAATATTGAGACGCACCACACTGACTGTTAAATAGACATGCTCCGATACGGGCACAAGCCTGACAGAAGGACATCACGAGGACTTTTGTTGCCCCATTATCATTGACTTTCATGAGGTGGTGATGAGCCGCCATCTTGAACTGTTGTGGGGGCCCATGTCAACAGAAATCTCCTCCCCAGGTGGGGGTAGACACATAATTGACCAGCAAAGGAGTCAGAGAGGCTCAGTGAGGACCATGGCATTTAGACCACAAACAGATCAGCAATCGAGTGACAGAGCAGTGTTGAGGGGTCGAATGGCCTCCTGCTCCAAATTCGTCTGTTGTTTGCAGTGTAGATAAATGCATACAAGAACAGGAGTAGGCCATTCAGTCCCATGAACCTGTTCACCGTTCAATAAGAGCACGGCTGATCTGTGGTCTCACCCCACATTCCTGTCTTTGGCCCATATCTCTTAATTCACTTGCTTAACAAAAAAAAAACTATCTCAGATTTAAAGTTAACAATTGATCTAGTATCATTTGTGGAAGAGCGTTTCAAGAGCGTTTTGAATGGTAAAAAGTTGCAGCATGCTGCTATGCAGAGGGACCTGGGTGTCCTTGTGCATGAATCACAGAAGGTAGGTCTGCAGGTACAACAAGTAATTAGGAAGGCAAATGGAATTTTGTCCTTCATTGCTAAAGGAATTGAGATTAAAAGCAGAGAGGTTATGTTGCAGCTGTACAAGGTGCTGGTGAGGCCACACCTGGAGTACTGTGTGCAGTTTTGGTCTCCTTACTTGAGAAAGGATGTACTGGCACTGGAGGGGGTGCAAAGGAGGTTCACTAGATTGATTCCGGAGTTGAGGGGGTTGGCTTATGAGGAGAGACTGAGTAGATTGGGATTATATTCATTGGAATTCAGAAGATTGAGGGGGGATCTTCGAGAAACATATAAAATTATGAAGGGAATAGATAAGATAGAAGTAGAGAGGATGTTTCCACTGGCAGGTGAAGCTAGGACAAGAGGGCATAGTCTCAAGATTCGAGGGAGCAGATTTAGGACTGAACTGAGAAGGAATTTCTTCACCCAGAGGGTTGTTAATCTATGGAATTCCTTGCCCAGTGAAGTAGTTGACGCTACCTCAGTAAATGTTTTTAAAAAAAAGCTAGATTTTTTTTGAACAATAAAGGAATTAATGGATACGGTGAGAACGCGGGTAAGTGGATCTGAGTCCATGAAAGGATCAGCCATGATCTTATTGAATGGCGGAGCAGGCTCGAAGGGCCAGACGGCCTACTCCTGCTCCTAGTTCTTATGTTCTTATGTTCTTAAACCTTTCTGTGTAGCCATACTTCCTAACATCTCTCCTGAATCGTCAGGTCCTGATTCTCAGACTATGGCCCCTAGTTCTCGAATTCTCAATCAGTGAGAATGGTTTATTGTTATCTACGCTATCATTTCCCGGCCTGAAGACTTTGATCAGATCACTCCTAACCTTCTAAGTACTAGAGAGAGTGTAGTTGAGGTGGCACAGTGGCTCAGTGGTTAGCACTGCTGCCTCACAGTGCCAGGTACCTGGGTTCAATTTCCACCTTGGGTGACTGCCTGTATGGAGGTTTGTGCATTCTCCTTGTGTCTGTGTGGGTTTCTGCTTGGTGCCCTTGTTTCCTCCCACAGTCCAAGTCCAAAGATGTGCAGGTTGGGTGGCTTGGCTATGCTAAATTGCCCACAGTGATCAGGGATGTGTAGATTGGGTGGGTTATAGGGGAATGGGTCCAGGTGGGATGCTGTTCAGAGGGTCAGTGTGGACTTGTTGGGCCGAAGGGCTTCTTTGCACACTGTAGGGATTCTATGAAGTTCTGTTAGGAAGACAGTTCCAAGTTTTGGATCCAGTGATAGGGAAGGAACAGTGATATATGCAGGGAACACAATGACCAACTTGCACACAGCAAACTCCAATAAACAGCAATGTGATTGTGAGCCAATGATTGGTTTCACTGATGTTGATTGAGGAATGTCATTGATTTACTTTGTGGCATAGAATAATACCAACAGTGTGGGTTCAATCCCCTCACAGGCAGAGATGATTCCTAGGGACTGTCTCCTTGTCTTGGTCTGTAGCAATAACATGGCATGGGGCATGATTAGCAAACATCAGATAATGGCAGTGCTCCATAGAGAGTGTTTGCAAGTTTAAATACTGAGCAGGATACTTTGGAAAACTTCCCTACTCTTCCTTGGTGTGGCTCAACGTCTGGCACTGCTGTCTCACAGTGCCAGGGACCTGGGTTTGATTCCACCCTCGGGCAAATGTCTGTGTGGAGTTTGCACATTCTCCCTGTGTCTGTGTGGGTTTCCTCTGGGTGCACCGGTTTCTTCCCATAGTCCAAAGATGTGGTTTGGCCATGTTAAATTATCCACGATATGCAGATTAGGTGGGCTAGCCATGGGAAATGTGGGAATAGGATGGGGGATGGGTGTCTGTGGAATATGCTGGGGAAGGTTGGTGCAGGCTGAATGGCCTCTTCTGTCCTGCAAGTTTTCTATAATTAAAATCACATTCAATTGGGTGAACCAGCGAGGCTTTGATTTTGTATTTTATCCGAAAGCAATGCTGACAATGCCTTAGCCTATGTAGGTCAGGGATACCAAACTTCCAGCATGCATATTGCAGTTCTACCTGAGATCAGCTGGCCCTGCACTTACCCCATTTAAAACTTGGGACAAATGCTTCATCTTGGAATTGTTGAGCTAAATATCGCACTAACCAACTGAGTCACCAGGTGGGGCCCTTAACCATTCCAGTTTCACGTAACAATGGCCTGAGCGCCAGCTACCCGATACCTACACCAGGGAGAGGAGAGTTCTCCAGACCCATTTGTACACTTTTTATGTAAGCTTGGTACAAGCCACCTCTTTACCCAAGAAAATCAGCGAATAGCTGCACGTTAGAAGTATCTGAGGCTGAAGATCATGCTTTTGTCATGTGTGTGCATGTGGTCTTGTGTGTGTTTTTGACGTGTGTGTGTGTGTTTTTGACGTGTGTGTGTTTTTGACGTGTGTGTGTGTGCGCGCGTGCGTCTGTGTCTATGTGTGTGTGTGTTATGCAGGGATGTGGTCAAATTGAATGAGGCTTTGACCTCTGTCAGCCGTTATCAATGTGGAGCATCCTGGGGGCACGGCCCCACTTCTGCCAGGATTCCTTAGCTGTCGCTCCATTGGGCAGCCACAGCTGGAGGGCCGTGAGAGGGTGAGGCCAGGAACGCTTTTCCCAGCTCACTTGCACTGACTAGAGGCACAAGCTCAGATCCATAATCATCATCAGTCCAGGGCAGTGTGGTGGGAGAAGGCAAAGATGTGATACATCGCTAGGCTGGGTAGAAACCCAAAGAAGTCCAAAGAGACCCAAAGATTTCTCCTTTTCACTTCTACGGCAGCAATGTTTAGACAGGCAGAGAATAGATGGTTATGGATTAAGTGTAGGCAGATGGGATTAGTTTAGAATGGCATTATGGTCAGCGCAGAACAGAAGGCCAAAGAGCCTGTTCCTGTGTTTTATCATTCTGTGTTCTCTCTGGAATCTTAATTTCGATGTGGGGGACTTGTCTGTTCAGTTAGACCTCCCAGTTAATGAAAACATCTCTTCAGGATGTCAGAGATAGTAAGAACTGCCGATGCTGGAGTGAGAGGTAACACAGTGTGGAGCTGGAGGAACACAGCAGGCCAGGCAGCATCAGAGGAGCAGGAAAGCTGACTTTTCGGTTCAGGACCCTTCTTCTCTCGGCCTGTAGGGCTGATTTCAATGCTGACCCTCCAGTGCAGCACGAAGGGAGCACTGCACCATTGGAGGTGCGGCCTTTTCAGATTAACCATTAAACCCAAGCCTTATTTACTTGCTTGGATGGGTGTAGAAGAACAAACATTTCAAAGAATATCAGAAGCCAATGTCCTGACCAATTTTTAATGCCATGGTCAACAGCAGAAAGCCAGACTTTTTTCAGGCAACGATCATGTTGTTATTTGTGAGAGTTTGCTGTGTGAAAATTGATGACCCTGTTTCCTACATTGTAACTATGACTACACCAACAAAGTACTTAGTTTGCTTTAAAATTGATTTGATACACCCTCTGGGTCATGTGAAAGGCATGACATAAATGGAAGCCTTTCTCTTTTACAAGGAGAGAACACTGAATATGACAGAAGACAACCAGTTTAATGTAAAAGTTATTAATAGAGGACTCAGTGGGGAATGGAAAATTTTAATTGTCCATTAATCTTTGGACTGGGTACAAAAATAGTGCAGAAGGGTGCTTGAGGATCAATGTAAGTGGTACAGTGACTGTGTAAAGGAGATTAATATCTGTTTTACAGACAGGTTTGGTTTATTCAACATCAGATACTGAATGTGGCAAAAAAAACAATTTTCTAAAGCAGCTTAACTCACAGGAATGCCGTTTAACAATCGCACACCACGTTTTCATTGAAACAAAATATTGTATGTGCTGGAGATAGGAACTATAAACGGAAAGTGTCAGAGAAACTTAACAGGTCTGGTTGGTAGATTCTTGATAGCCCAGGGGCTGAACGGTTATGGGGGGGTGGGGGGGAATGGGGAGGCAGGAGTGTGGGGAATAATCAGATTTGCCATGATCTTATTGAGTGGTGGAGCTGCCTCGAGGGGCGGACCTCTTTTAGTAAGCAAGGGGTCTACTCTTGCACCGAATTTGTATGTCACAGGGATGACTTGTACTTTTTGCCAACGTGTACACAGACACAAATTATTCCCGAAATTCCCAGTTAGAGGAACAACAGCTTCTAACCTTCTGTTTTTTTTGGGGGGGGGGGTGGTGGTGGTATGCAGTCTGTGACTGGAAGCTGCTTTCTTTGTGCCCCTGTTCAGCCTGCGGGAACGAAAGCCAGGAGTTTTGGAAGATCATGTTGGCACTTGGTCCTACTCACAGCCCCTCGTCAAAGCATCTCATGTCAAAAATCAGCTCCAGAGTGGTGCACAGGAAACTTGAGCTTGTGCTTGCAACTGTAACTCATCACCTCTCCCTGCCCTTGATCACAGAACTAGGAAGAAGCTAGTTACTCTGTGAGATAACAGGTGCTCCTGTGGTGGCAGTACCATTGGGACATTATCCAAGGGCCCAGCTAATGCTCTGGGGACGTTGGTTCAAAACTCTCCATGGAGGCTTGTAGAATTTAAATTCAATCAATTCATTTATAATATCAAATCTAATTTCAGTATCTAATGATCAACAATTATTATAAAATCCCCTCTGGCTCATCAACGCCCTTATCTGACTTCCATCAGAATCCAGCCCCCTGAGGCTGCACAGTGGCTCAGTGGTTAGCACTGCTGCCTCACAGCGCCAGGGACCTAGGATTGATTCCATCCTCAGACGACTGTCTGTGTGGAGTTTGCACATTCTCCCCGTGTCTGTGTGAGTTTCTTCTGGGTGCTCTGGTTTCCTCCCACAGTCCAGAGGTGTGTAAGGTAGATGTGTCAGCCATGGGAAATGCAGCGTTACAGGGATAGGGTAGAGTGGGGTAGGTCTGGGGAGGGATACTGTGAACTTGATGGGCCGAACGGCCTGCTTCCACACTGTAGAGATTCTGTGACTAATGCGGTTGACTTGTAAATGCCCCCTTCACTGGCCAAGCAAGTCACTCTGTTCAACACCAATTAGGGATGGGCACCAAATGCTGGATTTTCCAGTGGTGGCCATATCCTGTCAGAGAACAAAAAAAAGAAACTTACAAATTTGAAGAATAATGGGAGTGTGTCCAGCACGTCATATTATTCAAAGCAATGGGTCCAGTGCTGGAAAGTGGGACCAGTGTACATTTAGAGTAGGTTGTGTTGGTGCAGACTGGATGGGTTTTAGGGCCATTAGTGTACTGTATGAGACTGTGAAGCTCTATTCCAGACTGACTGCCCAATCAAAATGATGCCTCTTTAAATCCACCCAACATTTTCTTTTTCAAACTTGACTGCATTAATGGAAATTTTTTTTAAAAATTCATTCGTGAGATGCAGGCATTAATTGCCCAGAGGGCAGTTAAAAGTCAACCACATTGCTGTGGGTCTGGAGTCACATGTAGGCCAGACCAGGTAAGGATGGCAGTTTCCTTCACTAAGGACATTAGTTTCCCCCCCCCGACCCCTGACAATCAACATGCATTCATGTTCAGCATTAGACTCTTAATCCCAGATCTTTTAATGAATTCACATTCCATCATCTGCTTCGGCTGGATTTGAACCCAAGTCCCTAGAATGTTGTTACCTGGGTCTCTGGATTAACAGTCCCTGTGATAATACCACTAGTCTGTTGCCTCCCTTGTATTGATTAACACCAGTACCAGCTTGTAAAGCTGCGTTTCTGACAGGCAGCTCAAAGCCATCGTGAGAAATGAGTTCAAACTGAATCCAGTTCATCACTGCCAGCTCAATAGCAAGAGCTCTGTTTGGGAAATAAGACTCTGTACCTCCCACTTTCTGGATAATCAGACACTGGACATACCCTGGAAGATATATACAGCTTGACCATGTGGAATTCCCGGTGTACTGACTCAGCGAGAATTACCTGGGAAGTTGAAACTTCTGTCGAGAAATTACATGAAATCCTCTGAACTTTGAGTTGGAGTCAAAAGGCTTTGAAGGGTTGTGACTATTCTGTACTGGGCAGTTACTAGGCTCCAGTCAGAACTAAAGAACATAGGAGTATTGTTGTTCGTTGCAACCCGCAAGAGAGATTTAATTCAGCAACTGTGTATTCTGTAAAAGCACTTGCAAGCCTGAACAAGCCTGCAAACCTGGCTGATGACTCACCAGAGATAACACAGTGTGGAGCTGGAGGAACACAGCAGGCCAGGCAGCATCAGAGAAGCAGGAAAGCTGAAGAAGGATCCCGACCCGAAATGTCAGCTTTCCTACTCCTCTGATACTGCCTGGCCTGCTGTATTCATCCAGCTCCACACTGTGTTATTTCTGACTCCAGCATCGGCAGTTCCTACTATCTCTGATGACTCGCCAGCACTTGCATGACTCACCTTCCCCAGCATAAAGTATGCCAGCACAACAATTACTTACTTACTTTTCCAGTTATTGAGGAAACCATTAAAACCTGCTCTAACTGCTGAGTAACTGTAAAACTGACCCCACAAACACTCAAAATGACTCAGCCCCTCAATTATTCATGCTGGCCCCCTCCAAAGTACACCCGATTCCCTCCCTACTCTCACTGGACCAGATCAGACCCGAATCCCCACATACCACAACCCCCTCTTGTTGGAAGTTGCCTGTCACTCGTGGCTTGGTTAAGACTAGATCTAAAATCTTTTCATCTGTTTTTCAGAACGACCACGGAGGTTTGAGAAGCCTGGTGAACAAATGGACCACGTTTCTGAAGGCCCGTTTAATCTGTTCAGTCCCAGGAAGTGAAGGAATTGATACTCATTTTGATGAGATCAGTGAGTGGCTTTGTGTCTTGGGTGAACAGAGTTTTCCTCTCTATCGACTGAGCTGGAAAGTAGCTATGTATATAATGCCTAATAAACGTGGGGTTTTGCAGAGGCTTAATAAGCAAAGAAGACAGTGCCCAGAGGCTGTATGTATCTCATGGTCATTGGTCTCTAAGAAGAGAACTTCATTATGTATCACCGTTCATAACCTTAGGAAGCCCCAAAATGCCTTGCAGCCTGGGAATATTGTGTCAGTCGATTTGCACACATCAAATTTCAAGAAAAATATGAAAAGGAAAGACTATAAAGAATAAAAATGCAAGTATTTCTCAATCATGTGGAGTGGAGGTTGTGAAAGTACAGACCTTTAAGGTTGCTGATATGCACATCAGGGCGCGGCACGGTGGCTCAGTGGTTAGCACGGCTGCCTCACAGCACCAGGGACCCAGGTTCAATTGCACCCTTGGGTTATTGTCTGTGTGGAGTTTGCACATTCTCCCTGTATCTGTGTGGGTTTTCTCCCACAGTCCAAACATGTGCAGGCTAGGTGTATTGGCTGTGCTAAACTGCTCATAGCATCCAGGGATGGGCCTGGGTGGGATGCTCTGAGTGTTGGTGTGGACTTGTTGGGCCAAAGGGCCTATTTCCACACTGTAGAGATTCTATGAGATGTATAAATAAACTGTTATTGTTATTTTTGTCTGAAATTTCTCCTGGCCATCATTTGACTTCTCCTGAGACTGGATTGGACCCCAGATGCAGTGACTACATTCGCTCAAGGGGTCCATGTTTAATTTGTTACCCTGATTAGCCAATTATTCTGGGTTGTGGGTGAGAGCTAACATGGCTCAGGGCCTGTCGCGGCCTAACCTACCTGGATGCCTAAAGCTGATTTTGTCGCAAAGCTCGAGGTTTCTTTGATATGGACTGCTGACAGGCTGTTCAGCTTTTCTCCTTCGTTTGTGGCCAATCTGTCACAACGATCAGTGTGTGGGGCCTGTTGCTGGATGGTGAGACGTGTCGATTTAGGGCAGTACAGACTTGCTGGGCCAAAGGGCCCCCTCTGTGCTGTGTGATTGTGTGCTAACTCCACTCAATCTCATCAGCTCCACATCTCACACACCTTTGTGGCAAAATATTGATCTTCATTTTGAATGCTTTAGTTGTTCCAGAATTTGGAGGTGAACACATTCCACATTCCAGACACCTGTCGTGTGCTTTTTAATTCACTCACGGGATGTGGCATCTCTGGCTCGGCCAGCATTTATTGCCCATCCCTAATTGCCCAGAGAGTAGTTAAGAGTCAACCACATTGCTGTGGATCTGGAGTCACGTGTAGGCCAGACCAGGTAAGGATGGCAGTTTCCTTCCCTAAAAGACATAAGTGAACCAGATAGATTTTTCCAGCAATTCCAGCAATGGATTCTTGGTCATCATTATCTGCCATGTGGGATTTGAACCCTCGTCCCCAGAACATTAGCTGAGTTTCTGGATTAATAAAATCACTAGGCAATTGCCTCCCCAATGTGTGTGTATTCTTTAATTCCTACGTGTGCTGATGGAGTCACTGACTGGGATTTCCCATCCCTGATTTTGCTCCTAAATAGGATGGGGCTAAAACAGAAGAGACTTTCTCTGGAACTTTCAAGCTGAAAGGAACGCTGATTCTAATGAAACAAAAACAGAAATTGCAGGTCTGGCAGCATCGATGGAGAGAAATCAGAGTTAATACTTCGGGTCTGGTGACCCTTTCTGAGAACTCCTGAATTCCTGATTCTAATGAATGGGGTTGCAATGAAAACCTCAAATAATGACTTACTTCCAAACCAGTTCACAGTGGCTGTGGAATACGTACATCTGCAGATAGTAGAGTAATGATTGCTAGAGTTGTTAAATACCAGAGGCCAAATGTTGGTTAGACAGAGTCCTGGCACGTACTTTACTAGTTAGTCCTCTACTCACATTCCAGCAATAGCAAACACTTTTATATTTTTATATATATTTGTGGAAATTTTTTTAGTTAACCTTTTGATACATGGTACAGAGCTAGGTGGGACTTGAACCCAGTCCTCCTGTTTCAAAGATAGGGACACCACCACTATGACACAAGAGCTCTCTACACCCTGTAAAGCACTCACCTAGATATCCTTCAATAAATATATAACTATCATCTGTTTCCTATGTTCTACTTGGCCTTAGGGATCACTGCCAGACCCTACTGGATGATAATAAGAGTGAGTGAAGCTCTGTTTTTCTTTATTTTACACCAGGGGATGTCTTCTTCCTCCAGACGAGGGATCGCAGGAACCCTTTAGTCTACACGGTCTTCAGTACTTCAAGGTGAGAGCGCCTGGTGTGGATTTACAGCAGCTGAAGTCAACGCCAACGGACTGGGCCAGGAGCAAGCTCTCTCTGTGGGTTAAGGAAACTCTGACTCAGTTACTTGACAGATGTTCGTGACATGAATGAGATTTAAGTTCACATTATTCTTACCCTTTCATAGGGGTGCGATTGTTGGGGCCAACATTTTGTTGCCTGTTCCTCATTGCCCCTTGTACAGAGTGGCCACCTGGGCCATTTCAGAGGGCAGTTAAGAGTCAATCACATTGCTGTTTGCACACCCATAATTTTTAACGGGAGGAAATGTACTCACAGAGGATGGGTGGCATGTTGCTTGTGTGTAGTCAGCTACTTTCACCGTTCGCAAAAATGTGACATTTTCCAGGAATGCAGACCCTGCGAACAACGGGACCTTTGCTAACTTGAGAATTGGTTTTTATTTCAGATTTACTTAATTCACTAGAATGATACCAGGAGTGAAGGGTTTTAGAAAAAATAAGATTAGAGAAATTGAGTTTATTGTCCTTGAATCAGGGAAGATTAAGGGGTGACCTTACTGAGGTGTCCAAAATTATGAACAGTTTTGACACGGTAAAGAAGGATATTCTGTTTCCATTGGTTGGTATGTCAGTAGCTGGGAGGGGGTGTCACAATTTCAAGATTGTCAGCCAGAGAACTCTGAGTGAGACAAGGAGAAAGTTCTTTCCTCAGAGAGTTTGTCAGGATGTGGAATGTGCTGCCTGGGAGAGTACTGGAGGCGGATTCCTTTGGAGGTTTCAAAAGAGAGCTGAATGTATATCTGAAAGGGATGAATTTAGAGGGCTATGGAGACAGGGCTGGAGAATGGGACTAGCTGGGTACCTCTTTCGGGAGCTGGTACAGACACGATGGGTTGAATGGCCTCCTGCACTGTAAAATTCAATCAACGACATTGAAATTCCCCATCTACCCTGGCAACATTGAATTCATTTCCCTCGATTATCAGTCCACGCCTCAGGATTTCTAGTCCAGTCACGTAACTGGAATGGTAAATGACTGTATCCTCATCACCATGGAAACCTACCCAAATCACTCATCACACAAGGGAGTGAGTACCTGATGTGCAACCATCCATTGGAAGGCTCTGCTGCCCTCATTATTAAATTCTATTGAGTGAGCAAATTCTGCAAGTCCAGTCAACTGTTATCCAGTGACCTTAATGTGTAGCCCATGGGAATGGGAATGGGTATGTGCAGCGCCATACCCTTCACATTAAAGATTTTCAGCCTTAAAATAGTCAAAGTTAATGATCCAGACCATGGCCCACACTTAATGTCATCAAGGTCCTGCGGGAGGAGATGGTGAATCGCTTTTCCCGAGCATCGGTTGAACTTTCACACTGTAGCTGCCCTTGTGCCAGAATGTCTCTGCTCACTTGGGATCTTGCCTCCCTTCACATGTTGCCTGTGAGGTGGCCCTGGTAGGGTAAGGACTGTCATCCTTCCAGGATGTGGCTTTGCCAAGAATTCTGGTGAGAGATGTGATAGTTTATGTGGAGGTTCATCTCGAGCAGCTCCACGATGCAGGATTCTGTGCTCTATAGACTATTCCCAGGCACGCGCACTGAAACAAATGTCAAAAATCAACTGCAGCTGGAGGACCACCAACTCAGTTAGAGGTGCTCTTTGGTTCTGCCCAAAACTTGATGGTCTGCCAGTGTGAAGAGCTGTCGATAAATGAGTGTTACAGACTGGCACATGCCAAGGTCAAGGGCTGTGAGCTGAAGGATGCACTATGGCTTGGGTAGAAGCCTCAAAAGATGCAACCAAAAGCTCTGTAGAGCTCCTACATAACCTCCAACAAAAACAAAGTCGCTGGAAAAGCTCAGCAGGTCTGGCAGCATCTGT